TGCCGTGTGGGCGAGATACTCTCGGTAGCTTGCCGGGCTCTCCGAGAGGGGCGGAGGAATCGAACTGGGGTCGGCCATGTTGGCTGCGTGCAAGGCAAATGCCCTATCGCTGTGCTATTATACTTTCATTAAACATCTAGGAGACAGTTAATCCTGTTGTGACCAATATAGATCATTCTCTTTTGCTAAATGTGTACTATTATGAACTGTTTAGAACATAGCACAAAATAAGAAAAATATGGAAATAAACTCATCTTGACACCCAAATTTGACAGATGTTATGTGTTGTCGAATTTTCTCCACTTTCTTATCCTTTATTTTTATAAGTGAAAGACTTTTAAAGATACAGCCAATGGCTCTCTTTTCAGCATTTATCTATGACACTTGGTTTCATATATATATATTAAAACCTATATGTTCACATAAGACATATGCATTTTATAATCCTTTCAGAAGCTAATTTCTTTCTTAAATTGAGAGCCTTCTCCTGAGTTTCTTAAGTAATTTGCCAGGGTATGACTCAACAATAGAATGGGGATGGATGTCCAACTTTACTGTCCTCTTATTTGGTGTTAGCAAAGTGTGTGTTTGTGTGTGTGTGTGTGTGTGTGTGTGTGATGCACCAGTCTATTCTAATAGTGGAAATTTCTAGCATAACAGCTTCAAATTGTAGGGGAGCTTTTAGGTATGATTATTCCCAACCCTAGACAACTGTCCTGAAAAATTTGCTTTCACCAAAATCCTGGTCAGTGATGACTAGTCATGCCCTCTCCTTCCTTAGGAGCTAATCTTAATACTTAACTCTTCTCAACTTTTGGTTCATGAATCTATGGAGTAACTTAGTAAAATGGAAAGGTAGATTACTAAGAGGCATACGCTCACTCCTTTGACTCCACTATTTTGTATTTTGGATGCTACACTCTTCCACTCCCTGGGAAAAACATCATGTTCTTTTAGCTTTGTGTCTTCCAAAATCAAAATATAGAACAAAGGTGAAAAAGTGGAAGTTGGCAGCTATGTGGTTTGGGTATTGAATTGTTCCGACATCAAAAGATTTATGAGCTGTGAATTTTAAATAGTTCTTCGTTCATGATTCTCTGTCACTGAATTGGAAGAGTCGGGAAGGAGTATGACACAAACGTTGGAAAAAATGGCCCCAACTGTTCAATCTAGTGCTAACAATAAAAGCTTTCACTTGGGTAAGTTGAACCCTTACTTTTAGGAGTCAACACCCTCCATTTCAAAGGACAAAATAGGAGGGTAGTGAATAAGTGCACGACGTTAAGGTTACCCAACTCCTCCTTTGCTGTTCCCTAGTGCAGAGCTTCTGAAGGATGGCAATTGAAATAGAAAGTTCTTTCTACTGGGAAAGCAAAAACATTAAGACATTGCTTTAACAGCTTCACAGAATCTGCCATTTCATCCTGAATATAGTGCTAAAAAGTAAGCAGTAATCTCCAGGGTGGGAGCACAACCCACAACCAACACCTATGCTCCTCCGCCTGTGCTTTTTACACTTTCGGTTTCCATTTTTCTTGATCAATATTTACCTGGTGACAATCACAGCTTCGGTAGTTTCTATTTGCTACCACTCTTTCGGCTGCTGCTATGTTAGACTTCAATTAGTTCCCTACTATAATAATTTTTGTGTGGCCTCCATTGTTTTATGAATGGCCACTCCAAGTGTTTCTAGTTTCTTGGATCAGTGGCATGCTGGAAAATTGGGATTTGGTATTGAATTTTAGCCAAAGAACTCCTCCAACACCCTCTTAACTTGACGGGATTGCAACATATATTCAGAGTCTGTTTTTAGGGATGTTCTTTCAGACATTTGCCGTTTGTAGGTTATCTATTGCTGTCAAACAAACTGCCACACAGTGGAGAGAGTTACGCTCATATGAAGTTCTTACAGTTTGGGCTAGGTCAAACAGTCTCTCTGGGACTTGGCTGTATGGTGCAGGCAGTTACAGGTTGATTGCAGGCTGGCAGAAACTGCCTGTTTTTATTCACATTTCTGGGAACCTAGTGGCTTTTGACTGGGTCCAATGCATCTCGTAATCTAGTAGGCTATCCTGGACCCATTTTCTCGATGCTTACAGGATTCTGCAAAGGGCAGAAAGGAGCAAGCAAGATCTCTTGAGGCCTAGGCTCAGAACTGCCATTATGTGATTCCTGCTGCAATTTATTGGCCAAAATAATTCACAAGGTCAGTTCAGATTCAAGGGGAAAGGAAATAGACTTGACCTCTTTTGTGAGAGAAATTGCAAAATCACATTGCAAAGGGAAGGGTGAAGAATTGTGGTCTTTTTGCCGTTTACCTCATGTACTTAGCTTTTCCCATGATGAAGCTGTCTCAAGTAATTTTCTTTCTGGGAGCAGCTGTTTTGATATACAGGGATATTGATCCATCATACTTATGAAGAAAATTGCACCACAGAAAAGATTATCTAGGCATTATAGGTGTTCATGAGAATAAGAAACACTGAAGATTTAAGCCGATGAGCCCTTTAATTTCTTAAGTAAAGCAGTTTTATTCATCTAAGAATTAACTGTTGTATTGTTTCTATCAGTTTAAAGAAATTCTAAGACAAATGCATGAAATTGCATGAAACGTGATTTTATTATTGGGCATCACGGGAAGACAAAATAAATACCACAAATATCTTGATATAAGATACAAATAATATATAACCCTCTGAATTCATAGCCATGCAAACACATCTCTCTGGTAGATGAGTTTTATTTTTTATACTTTTATTATATTGGTATTTAGCCTTACCTTTGCTGCTTTAATAAACCATTAACACTGAAACTTTCCATTCTTAATCTCTAACAAGTAGGGAAAAAAATAATTTGGCTTCTACCCTTCAGTGCTTAGGGTTGTGCCCCTTCCTCATTTAAAAAATAGACAGATAGGAACCAGACAGACATTGCAGGGATTAATGGGTCTCCATTGCATGCACCAAGCCTGGTTTGATCCCCAGAACTGCTTATATTTGCCTGCCCCGGCACTGCCAAGAGGGATCCCTGAGCACAGAGCCAGGATTAAGCCACGGATACCACCGACTATGACCCAGCGCCGAACCCCCAGGTTGAAAAATCAAATTTAATGGAATAAAAGTAACATTTAATGACATGCACACCTTGTCTGTACATGGGAGAGAGCCAGGAATACTGATCACTTAAATGGCCCAGGCTACACGTTTAATATCATCTCCAGCTAAATGCAAAAACTATTTTGGGGGGGAGGGGAGGCCAGTTAGGGAAGGCTGTCAGGCAAAGCCTGATAAATACAGGTAAGGTTGTTAAACAGATTTAAATCACTGCCTTTTGCATTCATAAGAGTTTGAACTCACTCCACTGCTTCGAAGGTGAGGCCCTATAAATGAAGAGTTTCCTCATAAATTTAAATACCTCTTTTTTTTTCTTTTTGGGTCAAACCCCGCTATGCACAGGGGCTATTCCTGGCTCATTCACTCAGGAATTACTCCTGACTGTGCTCGGAGCACCATATGGGATGCTGGGAATCGAACCTGGGTCGACCACCTGCAAGGACAGCCCTATCCACTGTGCTATCGCTTCAGTCTCTAAATGTTCTTACTACAGAGAATTTCTACTCAGTTTTCAGAACTTTTCCTATGCTCACAGTTTCTTACAAAACTCAGCCTAAAATATGCCAAAGAGACAAGTTTTGGGGTGGAAATTGTTCTCTTTCAAATTCATTAAATATTGTTGGACATTTTTGTTAGTCAATTCTATTTCTGGTACCATTCTATATAAAAACTAAGTCCAGAAAAAACGTGAAGGTTAAATAATAATTCTCATCATGAAAAATTAAAATTCTTAACATGAGATTACTAAATAAAAAGCATGTTATGTTTTAAAGAAGATAATAGTACCTATGAGAGGCAATTATTTTGTAAAGCAAATTTAATGGCCGTGTATCATGAGGACAGGCTTATTATTCCACATAGCACACTGAATAAGGATAGTAGCAAATTTAATACTGTGGGCAAGGGAAGTGTATGCAAAGAGAACATGCCTTTACTTTTGGACTCTGTTTTAGTATGGAGACATAAGGTTTGTGACTTGAAAAGACTTTTAAGAATTTCCTGGTCTAGTCCTGCCTGAACCCTCCCGTGCTAAAAAACTCATGAAGGAAGCCAAGACCATTTTGAAGAGGATTATTGAGTCATTTGTTGGCGTTTGAGCAAAAGCTGATGGAAGAATTTACTGTGCTCTACCATTCTTATCTTCATGAACAGAATGCCAGATTAAAGATCTTGTTAAAAAATTCAACTAAGTAAACTACCTTAATGGTTGTGTTCAGTGACTCTCAAGTCCAGCAGCAGTTTACTTAGCCAATAGGAAGAGGCTCTGAGATGCTGAACAAAATAAAAGACTTACGTAGGCAAAAGGGAGAATGATTAAGGAGTTATACTAGAGGTGGGGGAAGCAGGTTGGTTTTGGCAAAGCTAGTTTTCTTTAGGAGATAGCAAGGGTCTATCTGAAGGCAGATTGCCTAGCTAGTGTTGAACAAGGTCTTCCTGATTGATTAGGCTTGGATTATATTTTAGACTCTATTTAGATTCTATTTCATTATAAACTGAAACTATAATGAAATCTCATATTGGTGATATGGGGATTAGTGTAAGTGATTCCATTTCGGGCCTTTTTTCTTTCTTTAAAAAACAAGATGGACCTGTAAAAAGTCACAATAGAATATGATATGTGCTAAAATATAATCTACAGATGCCTAGGAGACACAGAATACAGTGAATTTACTACTCAGTTTAGTGGCCAGAACTCAGTGATTATCTACATCTGTGAAACAGTGGAGGTGGAGCAGCTAAAACTGGTGGATGCTATCATGTGAAATTGGGAATATCTAATAATCAGGGTGACTGGGAGCATTCCAGAACAATGTGCATCCACAGTTTTTCAAGACGAAATAGACATCCATTTTTCTGAGATCAAATTCTGTCTCTGGCCCATTACAGAAACACCACCTGGACCTCAAATGCACTGCTGCCAAGAAGCCCTTTAACGATAGCACGGATGGCAAGGAGAGCCTTTAAATTGGCCAAAGAGCTTCCTCTGCAGTCATCCTATCCAACGTGTGGTAGGTTTAAACAGCATGGCAATGTATTTTTTTAACATTACACATAAACATTATTCTCCTCCTCAGCAAACTTCCTTCTAAAGTTTTTCGCTTATGAGATGTGTTTAAAATAGACAAAACTAGTTTTTTTTTAAATTCTAAGGACATAACCATAACAGCAAGGGGATGTAGCAAGGAAGTTTCAAATAAATCAGTGATAACAATAATAGAAATTTGAGGGGTAAATGTCATGAAAATAGATTTTCAGGCACATTTCTCTCTCTTTTTATTGCTGATTTGCAGTTGGTGATAGCACCGCATTTTGGGGGTTTCATTTTTCCTCTTCTTTCACTACTACTGGTTTGGTATTTGCTTGAGTTTCTCCTTCTCCCTACATTTATACCCAGATAGTATCTATTTCCTTTCCCCAAACCTTAATTCATTCCCTCTGCCACTCTCATCCTGCTGTAGCTTTTGCAACAATCCAACCAGAGAGTCTTTTTGATCAGCTTCTTTCTAGGATTTGTTTTATCATCTACAAAAAGAAGATAATTGTCTATCTGTAGACATGAGATCAGCAAAAGGGAAAAGCAGGTCATACACATTTATGTGCCTTTCTCTACCTTTTTCCCTTCGTGCCTCAGATACAACTGTGGAGTCAACTTGCTATTACCTCCTGCTGGCCTGTGATCCAAGTTCCCTGATCCTAATTTATCCCTCTTTCTCATTCTTTGCCCTTCCTTATTCAGTTATTCTATTCTACTGCTATTGATCTGTTCTAAGACATTTAAAGAATCCATTTGTTGATTGAAAAAATTCAGGCTATTCTTGGAGCAACTGATCATATTCATAGGAGGTTCTACATAAAATTATTTATTAAATATCAAGAAATTCCTAATGGGATTACACATTAAATTTTTAGTGGGGCCATAGATGCTTCTAGGAATGAACTCATTCACAAACATTGACTGAAAGCCTGATGCCTGCTAATGAAATGGAATTCGAACATTTTCCCTCTTTGGGTAGCCAAGTGGGCAAAATAGATGGTATCTTTGTCTGTGTGGACCTATAATAAGCAGGGATGAGACAGGGTTTAGATGCACATTTATTTGGGGGAGAAGAAACCCAAAGAGAAAAAGAATTGGAATGAAGGCAGGGGGTGGCATTGAGCTGGACTCAAACCCAAGAGAACCTCCTGACCAACAGCAGACACGCACATGTTCCCTTCATATAGCTCAGGGGGGTGCATGTTTGATTTCCACCCTTACTTTGTGGAGGGGGTCCATGGCTTTCTGAATCATCTCACTTGGTAGTGGTATGAAAACAATTGATAGTGCACCTGATGGGAAGCCATCATGGGTAACCCCCATACAGGAAGTGACTGCATCAACAGCTGTGAATCAAAAACATACAAAAGGGATAAAGCAGGCTACAAAGTAATAATAAGATGCCCACCATTAAATGTACCCACTACTAAAAATATACCCACCGCTAAAAATTGTGATGAGTGCTGAGAGGGTAAATGGTAACATGAAGCAGATTGCATCACACAATCCATATGAGTGGTACCAACCATAGGTTGGAAAAACTCACACTGCCAGGGTTCCTCAATATGACCAAGTGTTTCTAGTGTTTTCAACGAAAATGTTAAAGATGAAAGCCAGTTTCTCATCTTACTATTTACTATCCTTTTCCTAGATAGATACTGAAGCCTTACAGTGTTTGGGCGTTTGGCCAGAATGGATTTTGTTCCAAAAATTAAGAATATTATGGCAGCGTTTTTCCCTTCTCTTTCTCATTGTGATGTGAGTCACTGTCACTGTCACTGTCCTCCCGTTGTTCATCGATTTGCTCAAGTAGGCACCAGTAACATCTCATAACAAATTGTGAGACTTGTTGTTACTGTTTTTTGCATATCAAATATGCCAAGGGGAGCTTGCCAGATTCTGCCATGTGGGCAAGATACTCTTGGTAGCTTGCCGAGCTCTCTGAGAGGGGCAGAGGAATCCAACCCGGGTCGACTGTGTGCAAGGCAAACACCCTACCCACTGTGCTATGGCTCCAGTTCTTGTTATGTTAGCATCTTAAATTATTATAAGTTCACAATCACGATCACCATCATCCTGTTGGTCGTCGATTGACTTGAGCAGGCACCAGTAATGTCTCCTTCGTCCTAGCCCTGAGATTTTAAAAAGTGCCATATTCAAGGCTCTTTCAGGGTTAGGAGAATGAGACCCATCATCGTTACTGGTATTTGGCATATTGGGTACGCCACGGGGAGTTTGCCAGACTCTGCTGTGTGGGCAGGTTACATTCGGTAGCCTGCCAGGTTGCCCAAAGTAAGAATGAGATAATAAGATGTCGCACGGCCCCGCTTGCAGCCACATGCTTCCGGGAGCTGGGTTTTATAGTCTCTGGGTCTTGGCCATTGATGAGATTACATGGCATGGGGGGGTGGGGGGGTGGGGGGTGGCAGTTGGTGAGTGTGACCCCGGCCTACTGGAAGTTGGAGGATCTGGGTGGAGGATGCTCAGCCCCAATCCGAGCAGGCTTGGAGATCTCAGCCCTGGGACCTGCATGCCTTTGTTCCTCTGCCGGTACCTTTATGAGTAAGGAGAGTGGTCTCAGCATGGTTGTGGCTGGTTCTGGAGGTCTTTGGCTGTGTGAGCTCTGCTTAGGGTGGGGAGGGAAACTCAACCCACCCCCTGCAAGGGGCTCCACGAGGACAGCCAGGCCCGGGGGCAGGAGACTCTGTGCTCTATTGTAAGTTATAAGTTAAAATGTTTATATTATGACAACACTGGGTTATAACATTGTATACGTCCCAGCTACACAATTTTATATTTTAATATTTTGCAACATTATAACCATCTCTAAATGTCCAGTTTCTATCTACCACTATAAAAATGGTCATTGTTTTTGAATTGATGGCACTATTTTTATATAGTTGATGACACTTTTGATGGTCGTAGGTCTAGTGTTTCTCCCAACTACTGTGCTGAAGGCATCGTTGGGGCCCAAGTACCTGTGGGTTTGTGTAAAGTGATGATAATCAGAATAGGTTGGAGGTTAAGAACATGTGCTAAAAAGATACTGATTTATTTCTGGTGCCACTTGTAAACTTTACCACTGTCTGTCTGTGCAGTTTATTACTTGTGAAATGGGAATGACATTCTTACTCCTTGCAAAGTATGCTCTTTGACTATTAAGAAAAGCAAACCAGATAAATCTTTTAAGACAATGCAAGTCATATAGTAATCACTCTATTAATCATTAGTAGTAAGGGTATTAGTTTGCTCTGGCTGCCATATAAAAAGACCATAGATTGAGTGGCTTAAGCCACCGAAGTTAATTTCATCACTGTTCTGGTAGTTGGAAGTCCAAGATCAAGGTGCTGGCCTGTATAGTTTCTTCAGAAATCTCTCTCTCCTTTGACTTGCTGACATTTTCTCACAGTATCCTCAGGGAGCGATAGCACAGCGGTTAGTGCATTTGCCTTGAACGCGGCTCACTTTGCCGACCCGGGTTCGATTCCTCCGCCCCTCGCAGAGAGCCTGGCAAGCCACTGAAAGTATCTCTCCTGCAGTGGCAAACCACCCGTGGTGTGTTTGATATGTCAAACACAATAATAACAAGTCTCACAATGGAGACGTTACTGAGCCCGCTCGAGCAAATCAATGAACAACGGGAGTACAGTGCTACAGTGCTATCCTCAGGGTACCTTTTCCCTGCATGCACCCCTGATGTCAGTTCCTCTTCCTACAAAAACACACAATAAGAATTGGATTAGGGACTCTCTTTTATTACCTCATTTAACCTTACTTGCCTATGTAACCCCCAGTCTCCAATACATTAACACTGAGGGAGGGGGTGGTGGGCTTCAATACGTGATTAGGGATAGGGACTACCACAAGTCAGTAATAGCAATAAACATTTGGATAAGAAAGTCAGTTCTTAAATATGACTTTTAACATTTTGGGATTCATGACACTTTTGATACACTTTCAATTCACGGAGAGTCCCAAAACTTCTGTTCATGTGGGTTGTATCTCATTGTACTTATTGTACAGGACATTAAACCTAAAGAATTTTTAAAACTATTATTTGCTCAGTTGAAAAATACTTAAAAATAAAAATAAATGGGTTAAGGAATATGGCTCAGCACTTCAGCACCTGCCCTGAAGGCATGAGATCATGAGGCCATGCACTCAAGGAGCGATAGTCTAATTCCCAGCGCAGGTCAAGGTGGTGTGTGATCCCCGATGTCACAATGCCAACAACAACAAAGGGCAGGGAAGACCAGAAAAGCCCACTACAAATGATCATCATTTCAGGAATTAATAATTTCTCAACCTTCTATTTCTGAAAATATCCTTGTATCTATAGAAGCAGGTTTATTATCATCCCAGAGATGTGTCTATGAACAATTTCACAGATACAGTTGTTCTCATAAGGTATCTGTGAACAATTTTGTGGAGAGCTATTCTCATAACTGTATTCTCATAACTGTGTCTATGAACAACTTCAGAGATACAGTTAATGACCCCATGTGTTGTGGTATCACATGACATGTAACCACTGAGCATGTCACTGTTCACTACTGGAAAAATGAGAGTGAAAATGTAAAATAATATTGTAGCATTCTGAGAGAAATTAGTATTGACCTTGCATAATTCCAGAAAAGTTCTTTCGATCTCCAGGAGTCACAGATCATACTTAGAGAACCACTGCCCCAGAATTTAGGGATACTCCATAACTCCATAAACGAATGAGTTTCATCCTTTTGACATTCTACTTTTGAAAAGTTCACCAACTCCTTTACTACTCACTAGCACAGCGGGTAGGGCGTTCGCCTTACAAGTGGCCAACATGGCCAACCCGAGTTCGATTCATCCGCCCCTCTCGGAGAGCCCGAGAGTATTCGATATGCCAAACACAGTAACAACAAAGTCTCCAATGGAGACGTTACTGGGCCCGCTCGAGCAAATCAACGATCAATGGGAGGGCCTTTACCTTTTACC